ACATATGAGACTTTGCTATAGATGCAATGCTATTAAAAATGAGAAAAAATGATAAGCTCTATCTGATAGCCTTATATTCTAATTTTATTTTCAGAAAATATAATTAATTACAAGATCCATAACAAAGAGCTTCTTGTAATCATGGATTTGTTTTAAAAATGGCATTATTATCTAGAAGGTGCTTCAATTCCTTCAATATGTATATAGATTATAAAAAACTCAAATTGTTTATGTGAGCAAGTATTTTAAATTGTTTCCAAACTCATTGAAATGTGTCATTATCAAGATTTAATTTTAAGATTATTTATTGACCTAAAAATAATAAGATTTGTGAGATGCCTTTTTTAAATTCTCTTATTCGGTATCAAAAGTAAGAGACACATCTTTTGATTAAAAAAAAATGATTCTCTTAAAGCCAAAGCATTTCTATCTTCAAGCAATAAAATCAACATTAATTATTAATTCAATCTTTTTCAAGCAAGTTTAATCGAATATGTTCTCTAATCTTCTTGTTCATAATATTAAGAATAATTTTTTTAAGTCTTAAAATACTTCTAAGTTTAAACTCAAAAAACATTCTATTTTATTTTGAGAGATGATTATACATTCCATAAGGTAAAGCATAATTACGTGTTTTTCAAGCTTGTCATGTTTTTTTAACAACTAGATATTTTGAATACAATAAAATTTTAGATCTAATGTCTAGAGATTTTTTGTGGCTTCAAATGGGAAAGATAATTATAGATTTTATATAATCATAAGATATTTTTTTAAGATAAAAAATTCTTCATCATCAACCTTATGGACTTCTTCAATCATTACTAATTCTAAAACAATTGTGGTCTTTTGTTTCTATGGACTTTATCATAGAATTTCTTATCTTAGATTTTTTTATTTTATATTTTTAATCATAGATCAATTCACTAAGATGGATATAAAAATATCTTTGACTTTTCATCCTCAAATTAATAGCCAAATAAAGCGACTGAATTAAGTGTTGAAGCAATATTTAAGGTGTATCATAAATAGCCAAAAATTTGATTGAACAATTTTTTTTATTATTGGTAGAGTTTGCTTATAATAATATGATACATTCTTCTATCCAACAAACGTCTTTCTTTGCTAATTATGGTTACTATCTAAGACTTGATACTTTTGATTTTTTAAAAGTTAATAATGTTATGATAGAAGATTGAATAAATTATTTGTCAAAGCTACATGCAATAATAAAGGTGTAACTAAAAAAAGCTCAAGAGTGACAAAAGATCAATATCGATGCTTATTATAAGGAATAAAATCAATTTGATGTTGGTGATAAGGTATGATTATTTTATTATAATATTAAGACTATTTGTTTTTGTGACAAGTTTGATTACCATAGATTTAGACCATTTATTATATGTGAGCATATTAATCTAATTGCTTATTGATTGTACTTACTAAAGCCTATAAAGATCCATCATGTATTCTATGAGTCTCTACTTGAGCCATAAAAGACAATAGATATATTAGAAAGATAAAAAAATGTTATTTTTTTATATAGAAATAGATAATAATTAAGAATTTGAGATTGAGAAAGTCTTAGACTTAAAGCAATAACAAAATAGATTAGAATATCTTATTTATTGATATAGATATGATATTAGTGAATATACATGGGAGCCAATCAAGAATCTTATAAATATAGCAAAAAAAGTTGATACTTTTGAACAACAACATCCATCAAAATCAAGATAAATAATAGCAAATCTTTTTTATAAAAAATCTATAGTTTAAGAAAGATTGCATTCGACTTTTTGTATATTTGTAGTGATAAGGAGATGAAAAACCAAAAATCAATAAATTCAACTTGGAGGCCATTGTTTGTTAACTTATTAGATGAGATATTGTGATTATCACAACCTTCAAGATAAGATAATTGAAATGAAGTCCTTTAAAAATGACTTGTTTTTTTTTCTAATAGATGGAGAAATATAATGCATTCGATAATACAATCTTAGGAGAAACTCTCAATCTTTAGTAATTTTATTGGAAGTAGGAACACGTGTCTTGTAAATTAGACATGTTTTAAAAATTATATAAAATATTACTACATAGCTTCTAATTATATAGTACATATATAGAGGCAATAGTGAAGCCTTCTTTACTTTTGTCAATGCCTCTTTAGTCTTCTTGTCTTTAGCAATAGTCATTCTAGTTTAATATTATACCATCCTTAAGTGATTTTCTAAACTTTTTGAGTAATAAAAAAATGTATAAATCTTTAATTCTCTAATATTTATATCCTTGATACATAAATGATAGTTATGGCCTTAAGATATAATTTATTTCATTTTTCAACTTCTATATGGTAATAGGCTAAGCATCTAAATATTTTGAGATATTTGAATTAAATTTTAATACTTGCATATATATCTTCTAGTGTAGTGAGTCATAGCATATTTGTTGAATTGTGGTTCTAAATAAAATTGATAGTCTTTGCTAACTTTTCTCTAAGATATTTAAGAACTTTAATGTTAGTTATAATATTCTTGATTCTCTTGAGGAGTATTTGAATATTATGCTCTACAAGTTTATTTTTTTGAGGTGAATAATTGACAATCATTTGATCATAAATTCTTTTTAGTTTGCAATAAGATATAAAAGCATTTGATGTATAAGCCCCACTTCTATTAGTATGCAAGCATTTTATTTTTTTTACTATTTTTTTCTATCAATGCTCTAAATTTTTTGAAGATCTCAAAAATTTGAAATATATTAAACCAAAAATAGTTAATATTTTCTAATAAAATTATTAGTAAAGGTGAGGATATACTTATTGCCCTACGTGGATATATAATTAGTAAAGGTGAGGATATACTTATGGTCTTTGTTGATTTTTCTTGTAGTAGTAAACCTTCAAGTTCAAGGAATGTAGATTGACATTCTCTCCTTTTCTAAATATATTTCAAGATCAACTAAGACTTAAAAAGACTTAATAGGATGAAATCTACCAAGTCTTAGTCTATTATAGCTATTGCAAATTATGCTTGTTGATTTAGCAAGCTATTGATTTCCTAAAGATAAGTCTCAATCAACTTTCTTTTTGCTAATGATAATAAAAAAAAAAACTTTTAAAGATAGTCATCTAAAATCATTCTTAATATCATATAATTGTTATAATAATAATTAAATAATTTAGATTTTGTGATGTATATAATATTAATAGAAATTGAATTACTTACCATAGACATTATGATTTATCATGCTTTAACGTATTTTGCTTGTGTGGTTGAAAGAACTATTGATAAAGCTTGTGGTGTGATGATACTTGTCCACTACTACAGTTATTGATTTACTTTCTATTTAAAAAACTCTACTTCTAGACATTCTTAAGTATTATTTATTAGTGCAATCAAATGATACAAGGTCAAAATAACAAGTAGAAAGATAAAAGTAGTACTAACAATGCTACCAAAAAATGCAAAGGTAAAATATTTAAGGATTGGAAAAATACTACAATATCCTGAAGTATTGGGTATATCTACAATTCTTTCAAGTATGGGCCAGGGAGACAAAATATTTAAAGATTGGAAAAATACCATAGTAATCAATGAAGAATTAGTAAAATGAGTATAATATTATTAGACAATAGAACTTCGAGATAGAGTAGTACTAAGCTAAAGGTCATCTAATATCAAATTTTGGTAATAAACTAGCTTATTTACAAATCAATGTGTGTTGTTGGTGGTGGTTTTTATAGAGTTTTGTTTCATACTTGCTTATAGATCCTAACATTTGAATAACACTAAGCTGAAGGCCTCCTTCTACTGCCTCTACATACTTCCATAGATCTTCTTGCATCAAGATCATCTTGATCTTATAACTCTAGATGATGTAGTTAGAGTGTCCTTCTAATTTCATTAATCTAAGCACGTCTCTAACTACCAAATCCATCTTTGATATACTATAGATAAACAAGACTATTCCTATCATAACTAGGACTATGTTTCATACAGATTAGAAATTATGCCTCACAACTCACTCATTCTATTCAACACTATATATATTTTGATATTATGTTGGAATAAGCAAGTGAGATTAGACATGCATTAATGTGCCTTAATATACAATAATGTTGAATAAATCCTTAACTACAAAAGCTAAGGCCTCAGTCAATCTGTACATCCAGACTAAGGGGATGATAAATATTTGTAACCTTAGATGACCTCTGTTAAGATGTCATAATAATATTTAGAACAGAATAAATATTTTATTAGCTTTATTTCATATATATATATATATATATATTTATGTATTTATTTACTTAAATGTATAAATTTGAAATGAGATGTGACTCTCTCTCTCTCTCTCTCTCTCTCTTTATATATATATATATATATATATATATATTTTCGACTGACATAATATGAACCAAACTCTAAAATACATACATGAAATATCAAGCAAAACTCATGATAAACAGTACAAAGTAATAATTGTATATTCAATCAATCAATAATGCTTTCCTGTACAAATAGGCCAAACGAAGTCAACAAACTAGAGAACAATAAAACCATTGTAGGGGAGAGACATTTACTCAACTTTTCCCATTAAAGAAAACAAAAAAACAATCGAAATGAACAAGAAATGGATAAGAAAGAACTCCCCCACAAAGTGTCTCATAGATTTTCCCCCCCCCCCCCACCCCCCAAATTTTATGTCACGTCAGCCACTGCCCAATGCCCACCTCATCCCACGTGGGCACCCAAGAATGGGCCACCCCCAAACCCCAAAATCCTACTCATCAACCACGAGGTCCCGAGTCGAAGTATCTACTGGAGAAGGGAACAGGGGATCAAGAGAAGAGAACATGGAGAACAGGGGGAGGGAACATAAGAACAGGGGAACAAGAATGGGGAACAGGCTCGCGTCGCGACGCGACGAGGCGGGGAAGCCCAATCGCGGCGCCAGGGCAGAGCGCGAGCTTGTTGTTGTTGTTGGTGGTTGTGGCGACGTCGCGTCTCGGTTATCCGAAGGAAGGAAAGTGGAGGGAATCAAACAAACAATTGGCGTCTTCGTCGTGGTGGTGGTGGTCTGCCACAGCCAGGCCAGGCCAGGCATCGCGAGGGAGTGAGTGGCAGAGCCAGTGGGAGTGTGTGTGGGGCTGGCTGGTGCTTACTCAATTAGAGGAGGTTCACAATTAGTGCCATTTCCCTCTGTTGTTCAGGGATGGCGATGGCGATGGCGGTGCCGTTCTCCACCTCGACCTCCACTTCCACGCCGCTGGGCCTGGTGTCCCCGCGGCTGGGTGCTCTCAAGGGATGGACTGAATCTTTCGGAGCTTCCAGCTTCGAGTCCTTCATGCGCTTGACCCGTGCCTCTCCTTGCAAGTAAGAGGATCCTCGCAGGAATTCTCTGTCGTTGGTGGTTGCTGCGTTAGTCAGTCGTTGAGGTTTGGTTTCTGAATTGGACTTTGTCGTTAGTGAGGGAAGGAAGAGGGAGAGGGAATGCGGGGATGTGAGGGGAACGTTGGTGAGTTGATGAACTGGGTGGTGATGAGTTTTGCCTTGTTTTCAGAAATTCGGATTCTTTACAATGGATGCAATGGGATTGCAGTTCCTGTGTGTTTGTGTGTGTGTGTGTGTGCGCGCGCTTGTGAAATAGGATTGTAACATAAACACTTGTAGCAATTGCGTCGAAGGATAGTGTGAATGTCGTGGGCATTTCATGTGTGGGGCTCCAGGTAGCTTGCTCCGGTTTCAAGGATACAGAATGATTCCTTCTGACAGCATTTCAGGGCTTTGATTTTACGAAATTGTTTGATGTTTAGTGTCCTTCGCAAATGCTGTGATTGTATTGGATACTTAGTGGCTCGCACTGCGAGAATCAAGTTTGTGCTGCAGATTAACGTCATTAATTGTGCTGCAGATTGCAATGCCAGGGCTCATACAGGGAAAGAAGCAAGGAGATTCAAGCAGCAGCTGCTGCAGGTTTGCCCTGACTACTTTTTTCTCGTGTCAAATTACATTGGATTGCTGCGAAGTGAACTCAAGAGGGTGTCATTTTGAGATAGATGAGATTGTGTATAAGCAAAACTGATGCTTGTCTATTGTAACAAAGTTGACTTGCACTATGTTTCCAGGTGTTGATTTACTCACAGTAGGTCAAAAACAGGAACAGGTTTTACCCCGTGGGCCCTCATGGGCTGTTCACAAATTTGGTGGGACTTGTGTTGGCAACGTTGAGCGCATACAAAATGTGGCAAAAATAATTATTGACGATCCTTCAGAACGCAAGGTTGCAGTCGTGTCGGCCATGTCCAAGGTGACCGACATGATGTATGATCTGATCCGTAAAGCTCAGGCGCGTGATGATTCTTACAATTCTGATTTGGATGTGGTTCATGCGACGCACAAGGAAACTGCCGTGGCTCTTCTTGAGGATGGACATGATCTCACCAAGTTCCTTGGTATTTTGGAATCAGACATTAACAACCTTCGAGCAATGCTTCGAGCTATTTATATTGGTATGTCACATGCCGCGTATTTTCAGCTTAAGTTCTACAGATTGTTTGCCTTCTGAAACCAACTATCACTTTTTCTGTCATGTACTTTCTTCCCCTGCTGATTAATGTTGTGAAGATTCTGTTCACGTGGTGCATCATGTTGTCCAATATAAACATAATTAAGCATATTGAGAGTGGTTTCGAAGTGGTTCTGTAAGCCATTTTTAGGTTTCACCTTCCTGACACCAAGCGATTCTGAGTGCAGCTGGTCTTGCCACCGAGACTTTTGAAGATTGGGTTGTCGGACACGGAGAGTTGTGGTCTGCACAGTTGCTTGCTGCCACTGTCCGAAAGGTATGAAGAACTTTGCAAGACTTGATAGAGCGTCTATTTCTACGTTGAGTTGGGTGACATGTGTGCATCTATCATAGGGTACAAAGAGTTTAAACCATAATTTCGCTGGTATTCCAGCAAATGTAGGAGATGAATCTGTGATGGTCGTGGTGGCTGTGGAGGTTACAGAACAATCTTTACACGAGATCATTGGAAAGCATTCACGCTTTGAAGTAGGTTATATTAATTTTCAACCTTCTATGTCTGGATTGCAGGGAGGCCTGCCATGTGTTTGGATGGATGCTAGGGACGTGATAGTGGTCACGCCTACTGGAAAGTTGCAAGTCGACCCTGTTTATGAGGCTTCTGCAGAGAAACTTGACAAGTGGTATTCACGATACCCGTCTGACACTGTTATCGTGACTGGGTTCATTGCCAGTACCACGGACGACATTCCAACTACATTAAAACGAGATGGCAGTGATTTGTCAGCAGCGATCATGGGTTCACTCTTTCAAGCTTCAAGGGTGACCATTTGGACAGATGTGGATGGCGTTTTTAGTGCTGATCCAAGGAAAGGTAATGTATTCGCTGTTTTGTATGTTACGGTTTATCTCTTTGCTCTTTTATTATAGAAATACTTCGTTTTTGACACAAGGATAGCGTTTATTAGGTTCTTTCTTGGTCTGCATCAATTGAGTTTTGCAACCAGAATGTAATTTTGTTCTTGTCGAGTGTCATCTGGATGTTTAGACCTGTCCCTTCTTTTCCCTTGGTTTGAATTTTAGTGATATGTTTTTCTTGTCATAAAGGAAACCGTCTAGTTTCCTCAACGTTTCTATCTCCGTGTGCGTGCAGTTAGCGAAGCAGTGATCCTCAAATCTTTGTCTTATCAAGAGGCTTGGGAGATGGTAGTTTTCTTTCTTAAGCAATCTATTCTCGCTATGTAGAAATGCTGTGGAACTTTGACCCCAGCAATACCTTTAATGATTTTTGACGAGTTTTTCTCCTCTCGGATGCCTTTTGTCGGATGGTGTATATAGAAAATTAGTCTCTTTTACTTTACATTACAATACCAATTACCAGAGGGATATTAATCTATATACTGAATTGATTTATACTTGCTACTATCATAGCTTCTTCAATTCGTATACCGGAGAATAGTTGGAATCCCTATATAACTTAATGCATTGCTTTTGACAGTCATACTTTGGAGCTAACGTGCTTCATCCCCGGACAACAATACCTGTAATGAAGTCCAACATTCCTGTAACCATACGCAATATTTTCAACGTTTCGGCTATAGGGACCGAAATCCGAGGGTTCTCAGATTCTGAAACTCTTCAATATGCAGCAAAGGATTTTGTCAAGGGATTTACAACTGTCGACAATATCGCTCTTGTGAACGTGGAGGGGTACATGGCTTATCTGTTATTGTTGAACATTTGTGGGTCTAAGAGATATAATGCTATGTTCAGCATTTTAATTGATCACATTCAACTTTAAATTTTTTTGAGTACCATAGTCCTTGCATATCTTAAGAGGATGCTTCCGAGATTCATAGCTTGTAGCTAGGCGTCTGATTTCTAGTGTCTTGAACCAGTGTTTCTTTGAAACTTGTCTCATTCGGGCATTGAAATGAACATGGTGATGCTACAGAACAGGCATGGCAGGAGTTCCTGGAACAGCAAGTGATATTTTCGACGCTGTGAAAGGTGTGGGTGCGAACGTGGTCATGATCTCCCAGGTGAGATCACTTTCGGCTTTGATATGTTCTTTTCCTTTTGAGCCAGTGCTGAGCATTTTAACGTTAAGGTTTTGGTATGTAGAGTTATCCAAGAGCACACAGAGATAGGTCCGGATAAGGTGTTTTACAATTATTATCACTATTATTATCATCTAAAAAAATAGCTAAATTGACAACATTACTTACATTACGTGCAGGCCAGTAGTGAACACTCGGTGTGCTTTGCGGTACCCATGAAAGAGGTGGATACTGTTAGTCGAGCATTGGAGACCAAGTTTAGAAGGGATCTTGATTCTGGACGCCTATCAAAGGTAATGTATTTTCCTCACTTTTGATAGTGGCCATGCTTTTGGACATGAACATCTTATTGTAGTGCTTATTCGTAACGGGTTTTGTTTGATCTTAATGCTGAGAAATATGAGTGGGGGCTTTTGCTGCACAGGTGGAAGTGGTAAAAAACTGTTGTCTACTTGCAGCAGTTGGGCAACGAATGGCCAGCACTCCCGGTGTTAGTGCGACTCTCTTTACTGCGCTTGCCAAGGTGGGTATAATTACATTTAAGAAGTTATGTTTGCTTTTTCTTGATTAATTGAATCGATTACTAGATGATTTTGAGGAACACATGCTGCTATTTATATGGCTTTTCTACAGAATGTTGATGTTGAGTGCCTGAACACGATCTGAATGTCTTTGACACCGGTAGATTTTTATTTGTGAGTTGTCTATATGAAATGTCTTTAACATTGGGACTTGCATAATATATGCTTATCTGGATTGAGTTTATTCACATGTACATTTCAGGCCAACATCAATGTGAGAGCAATTGCACAAGGATGCTCAGAATACAATATCACAGTGGTGGTGGATCAGGCTGACTCCATCAAGGCTCTCAAGGCGGTGCATTCAAGGTTTTATCTTTCAAAAATTCCTATAGCTGTTGGGCTCGTTGGTCCTGGTCTTATCGGAAAGACTCTTCTTGACCAATTTAGAGATCAGGTGATTGTCTACTAAATGTTGTTGCGTCGAACTCGGCAATTCTAACGTATTAAAATTACTGTCGGGTTTAATTCTTTCCCAGCTCCGCGGATGAATTCAATAGGTGCTCAAAGGATGAGCATGACATTGAAATTTTCGAATTAGCATTTGTTGATGTGATTTATTGGGTGATTTCAGGCGGCGTCATTAAAGGAGGATTTTCACATTGATTTGCGTGTAATGGGTATTATTGACTCGAACACCATGTACTTATGTGATACGTACGTATGCATTGAACCTTCTATTTAAAAGAATCTGAGAAACATGTGCGTTTTTTTTAAAAGCCATACCAACTAAAGATCTTTCGTTGATGCGTTTTCGTTACAAACCTTTGCATGGGTATTTTTGCTTTCACATGGTCGTCCGAAAATGTCGAGATACTTTATTCGCCACATAATGTGTTGTTTTACAGAGGTGTCGACTTGGCGAACTGGAGGGAGTTGATTGAAACCCAAGGATGTCCAGCAGACATGTCCAAATTCACAGCGCATATGCAGAATCACTCCCTACCAAACACTGTGATCATAGACTGCACTGCAAGTGTCAAAGTCGCCGAGAAGTATTATGACTGGATGCAGAAACGCATGCACATTATTACTCCAAATAAAAAAGCCAATTCAGGTCCGTATGAACAGGTGAGGCTTCCACACTGTGTTTCAGTGATTGAATCAGTTCTCAAGGTCCACATTGCTCGAACCTGAATATCTGCTTCTTGCCACATATGTCTTGCAGTACGCTAATTTGAAGGAGCTTCAACGTCAATCATACACGCATTATTTCTATGAAGCCACTGTTGGAGCAGGGCTGCCAATTGTCAGCACTCTTCGAGGACTTCTGGAAACTGGTGACAAGATTGTGAAGGTGGAGGGTATTTTCAGGTAAACAATATCTTTCTTGACATTTTTTTTTCATGCATTTTTTTTTTTTTTTTTTTTTAATGCTCTTTTTTTTACGTCCCTTGTTGGACACAACATCGAATTCAAATAATGCGCTCAGTCAAAGACATCGTAAAATTGAGGCATAAAGCTTGTTGCATGCCATAAGAAACGTGGCTGTCTGAGTTTTTAGGCAACGTAGCAATTTTCTGAAAGTTGGATTTGTTAGTGCAGTGGCACATTGAGCTACATATTCAACAGCTTTGACGGAACGAAATGTTTCAGTCAGATTGTTAAAGAGGCAAAAGCTGCTGGCTACACGGAACCTGATCCTAGGGATGATCTCTCTGGCATGGATGTTGCCCGTAAGGTATATAGATAACGGGGAGTGCATTGTTCATCAAGATTTATTTTATTAACTTCCGAATGTGCCTCAAGTGCTAAGCTCAATCACTACAGTAGTCCAACCTTTTTACCATCTATTCAAGGCATTCACAGCATGATGGTGTGTGATTATCGCAGGTCATTATCCTAGCTCGGGAATGTGGATTGCAGTTGCAGCTGGATGATATAAAAATCGACAAACTGCTTCCAGAATCTCTTTCGGTAATTTTCCCAGACTCTATTTGTTCATCCCCTCAATTAGTGAAGTTTGTTCTAGAATTATCGAAGCGTGTCTAATTCTGTTTCACGAACATCAGGCGCTTGATTCCGTAGACGAGTTCTTGGAGAAACTTCCAAGTTTTGACGCAGAGATTGAAGCTCAAAGAAAGGATGCCGATTCATCGGGAATGGTGAGTTGTGTGCATTGTTCTTGCTCTCGACCATCTCATGTCTCCTTTGAATTCATCATTCTGTAATTAATTGTTCCACATACTGAAGGTATTTGTTTCTCTACAGGTCTTGCGTTTTGTAGGGATAGTAGATGTGAAAGCTAACCAGGGAGCCGTAAAACTGGTGAGACTCCCGAAATCGGATCCGTTTGCCCAACTTTCTGGAACTGACAACATCATCGCCTTCACCTCCAAAAGGTATTCCAAGGATCAACGTCTCATAGTGAGGGGTCCAGGAGCTGGTGCTGAAGTCACTGCCGCTGGTGTGTTCAGTGATTTGTTGCGGCTTGCTTCTTATTTGGGTGCTCCTTCATAGATTCTCAACGGAAAGAATCTAAAATTGCCTTTCTGGGGCTTGTATTATCAAAATCAAGTTCATCAGGTCAGCTTTTTTGAGGTTACAGAAGTGACCCAGTAAGTTTGTGCATGTCTGATTAGTCGAGAAGCATCAATACTTAGCACTTCGGAAGGTTGTGCTGCTGTTGCGATTATGCATCGAGTTCAATTATGTTGCAAGTGAGGTTAGTCCCTCATCTATATGTTTCTAATTACTGTTATTATTAAAGATTGGCCTTCAATGGAGGATCAAAATGTGGATCAGAATGTGATCAGGGATGTGAAACCCAAGCCAGTGTGGTAGAGAATTCCTGGTGCTGTATGCTGCGCCCACGGAATAGGCATCTAGAATTTTTTGGAATTGTAATGTACCAGTTTGGTAAAAACAAATACCAGTCCGGCTTTGTAAAACACATGTATTCTGTCACCTTATAAGCGCTTTTGTAGTCCTTTCATATGATATGCCAATTAGTAAATTTTGTAATAGTGTTACATGGCTTTGCATCTGCTGAAAAATATTTGAAATTGCAACGTATGCACTTTTGTCTAAACAAAGATAACGGTTGCAAAGTAGCCAAAGAATATAAATTGAAATTGAAATATTTGATAGTTTTACCTTTTGAATGTAGCAAGACCATCGGAAACACAAGAGAGATAATTTATCCCGTCAAACATATTTTTAGTATTATTTCATTATTTTATTTTATTTTATAATTTGCCTTCTTTGATCATAGTTTGTTTTATAATTTTGTGTAATCACTATTTAAATCTTTTTGTGAACACATTATTAATAGTTCGTACGGTTTTTTACAAAACAGATCTAGTTGAAGAATAACTTAAACCCTAAACCCTAAACCCTAAACCTGTGCCTTAGAAATATACAATATGCTTGAACTCTTATAATTGAAAGAATAGGCAAACAAATATCTTAGTAAAAATAAAAAACGAACCTTTAGAATCCTTTTAATTTTTGTAATTTCAATAAAGACTATTAGAAAACAAGCCTTCAAACATGTTTCTTTAAGATGAAATTGAAAGCAGAAGGAGAATTGAGCTAACAGGACACTGGACAAATAACAATGTCAATAAATTTATAAATAAAATAAAATAAAGTAACACAATTGTATTTTTCATAAATAAAAATACTAGACATACTTTTTTAAGAATGATTTTTAGTATTAGTTTTTTTAAAAGAAAATAAAACAAATAAAAGGTTTAAAATACTTTACTTAAATAAAATTATTTTTGTAAACATTTAGTATTAAAAATTTTAATTAATTATTATTTTAGAGTTTAAAAATAGACATTTTAAGTTCATTTTTATTTTTTAAAAATGGTAAAATATAACTATTTAAATAACTATGTTATTTGATGCTCAAATTGTATATTTGATATGAATTAGATAAAGAATAATATTACTTCTACCAATAATAGAAAATATCAAGTTGTCCAAGGTATTATTTACAATGAAATGTTGCAAATTTGAGCTTGTAAGAGGGTATGAATTGGCAATGGGTTGGACTAGCGTCAAAAGATGTTTCTTGTAAGTTATAATGCACAATTGCCTACTTTTACTTTTAGTGGAAAAAATGTAATTTAAGATGTAAGCAACATTTTGGTGTAATTTCTTAAGTATCCATGCTTTTAGTTGAAAATATTGATGTTGCATTTGAGTGTTAGAAATAGAGTGGATGATAGATTAAAACAAAAATTGTGTTAAAATTTAATTGCACATAGTTAAGTCTTACAATTTCATAGATTACACCTACTTTTCATCTCTTCATATTTTCATATCTTAAAATATTATGTATAGACTAAATAGAAATATAAATAGTGAGTTTTTTTTTTTTTTTTTTTTTTTTTTTTCATTTGGAACTTAAAACCAATAAAGAATTGGCATTGGGTTTGTTTGATTTTAAAATTTTAAGGATCAATTATTTTTATTTTTATCGCAATCAAGCTTTGAATGATCTATGGTGTATTTATAACAGTTAGTGTTATAATATTAATAAGCTAAATGAAAACATGGATGTTTTTTAACTTATTAATATATCTTATTAATATATCCTGTCAAATATTGTGGGTATTCTCAGCAGCCTTTCACCATTTTGTACATTGATATAAATGATAAACCATGACACTAAAACAATTATAAAATTATTTTCACCTCTGTTACAGTAGCTTTGGAAATCTGTTGCTTGATGGGTCTCTCCCTCTCCTCTTGGCCGCGTTACATGGATCAGAAGGTTCACGTCGCATCATAAGCTTTTGATTCATATACTCTACACTTGGATTCCGAACTTCAATGTCGTTAAGTTATGCACGCTCTACCAGTCAAGGCATGTATGCCCCTCAATCCGGAGGGAGGAAGTTTGCGGTCAAAACTGCGATCGAGAGGTTCAGGATCCAATGTAGAGTTTCTGATTCAAAAGATTAATGTTGCAACCTGAACCTTCCGGGAGTTGTTGGTTCTCTGTTCCATGTTTCGATGTTGGCACTGTTTTGTGTATCATGACCTGCACAGTTTAAATGTTGGTCTAGTCCAAGCATGGAAAACCCTCGCACCCACTATCATTACTGCATCTTTGCTTTAACAAGTGCATGGCCAGTTTTGGGTCTTTAAATAACAAGGGAAGGAGTGCGGTTCAAGAATGGGGGAAAAGTCACACCCCCATCTCACCCGCAACTCCTCGTCGAAGTACACAACTCTTCGAGTCTGGAACGACGTCAGTGTTTTCACAAAGCGTTGTTTCACCGCACAACAACATCTTCGGAACAAGAACACAATTTAGATAGGGAGTGCATCAGCCGTGGTTTCGGAGGAGATATTTTTATCTTGGAAAGAGCGACAACCACAGGGACTGATGCCAGAGGAAACCTCTTCGGCGGAAGGGGACTCGGCCGTGGGAACCCCTCGACCTGGGCTGTCCGAGACACACGCGGTACTCGCCCACCATTCCAAGTTCATTTCAGATAATTTCGACAAGTTGTACAACGAAATTGAGCTGTTAAAGGTGCGTACAACTCTGAATTCGCACTTCAAAGGTGTCGTCTGAACCGGAACGCCATCACGATATCCACGGAAGTAGTCAGTCAGTCAGCACTCTGAGCACCCACGAAAGACACGAAAAGTCCCTCACTTCTCACACTCATACTCATGACTCTGGGAAAGACGTCATGATATTCCACCTTCATTGCCCAGGGAAAGCCCAACTCGTGTGGGGGGGAGGAAATGCTGATTCTAAGATTGTTCGCAAACCTGCAGGATAGCATGGGATCTGCACAGTTCATGCTGCAAAAAGAGTTGAGGGAGAAGTTTCAGGCCCACGACGATCGATACGCGGCGCAGATCGGGTCCCTGGAGGGCCAAACCGAGTTCCAGAGCGTGAGTTTGGACAATCTGCGGCAGATCCAGCACAAGTCGCTGTGCACGCAGATCGACGAGCTCCGGAACCACGTCGGCGTGCTTTTCTTCCGCTCCTGTTAGTGACCGGAGAAACCGGCTATTCTCCGGTCTGCCACCGGCGCCCACCGGTTAGACATATGGATGGATGAAATAATGTGGACGAATTATATGTCATACATCCTTCTTGCTTCGCGGTCCCTTTCGTTCCCTTGTTAAATGGGGTCCAGAGAACGCCGAGAGTGCCCAAAGGACATGCATTATTAATTTTGTGGTTTTTTGCCAGAGTATTTTTAGAATGCACTAAATTTCATGGATTTGGAATACATACCAGTTGTGTCGTTTGTCTACACTAAATAATCTCAGGTAATATAATTAAGTTTTACTGCGAATATAATGGTTCAACCTTTTTAGTATATTCTACAAGGAGAATACAGTTTCTGTATGGAAATAAAACCACCCACTTGTAGTGTTGGGTTTTTATTTCCTTTTCTTAGAAACACAAAAAATTAAATAAATAAATAAATAAAAACAAAAACCGATTCATAATTTTTATGTATTGTGTCTTACAGCAAAATGTTGTTGGTTTCTGTGTTGAAAGGAAAGGATTCTAAAAATGCAAAAAATTTAAAATTTAAAAAATGCATATATATATATATATATATATAGCGTGTAAACACAAAGCACCTTTCATGTAGCCAAAGTTCCATCACAATTCATATATTGTCAGAGAAAGCACATTCACTATACTCTTATTGCAATTATTAATATGAGGTCAGTGCTTTTAGGTACAAACTATAATGGTTGGAAAGAATCACAGTCTGCTATAGTGAAAATTGGCTAGAAAATTGGTGCAAAAACTTCATTTAAATTTAGTGATAAAAAAACTATTTGAACCAATCATAATATTATCATAATAGTTTTGAACTTATAAAATATTATATTGAATTTAGCAAAAATTTATGTGATGTTATGTTTGTTACTCCCCTTGTGGATCACATCCTTTCATATCTTATAAGAGATAATAAAATAATTGGGTTTAATATGATTTTGATTTATTGTACTATTTGGAATTTATGCATTGTATTAAATTTGTGTTGTAGTAAGAATAAAATAAAAATCCTAAACAACATATCAAATTCAAGTACATTTTACTTGTCTTCAAATATTTTTATTTATATGTTAGTTTAAAGTGTTGACATGTTATTTAACTTGATTAAATATTATAATTATTAATATATATAAATATCATTAAATTTAAATATCTATCATATATACAAGCATATAATTATATATATATTTTTTAAAGTTCAATTAAAATTCTAGTTTTCTTCTACAATAAATATATATATATATATATATATATATATATATATATATATGAATTTATTTATATGTTAGTAAAAAAATGAATTAATTGTCCATATAATATAACATCAAGCACAACATGATGTAAAAAGTAGTAGTTGTTCTACATAGGTTTACATAGATTGTATTAGTTTTAAAAGTTAAGAATTATATTATGGCCTTATACAAGTTGCTCTGGACATTAGGGCTATTAGGGTTATACTAAGGTTATACATAAAAATAAAAATAAAAATCTCTTTAACTTCAAATTCTTATAAAGTTGAGTTTTGTAATTCTCTTGAAAGTAATCTTATTCATACTTTAGGAGCATGATTTACCCATTTTAGTAAAGATTGGAAGTACTTCCTAAAAACTTACATTCTTAAGTCTTTTTTTAGTAGTGTGAGAAAAAATATAATAAAAAAATACTGTGGATGTTTACCCTTTAATTTTGACAATATTTTCAAATAATAAAGATATTGTTTGGTAAAAAAGAACTTTGATCTAGAACATATGTGCAAGTTAGAGTTGGAGTGCAAACAAGAGCTCCAACTATGAGTCCCATCTATCGGACATTACTGCAAAAGGTGACTTGTAACAACATGATATTAAACTTGTTATGTATAGAGTGTTTAGTCATCAATGAAAATAAATAAAAATAAAAAAATAAATAGTATTTAATCATGTATAGTATTGTCAATGTAGTTTTAAAACATATTCTAGCTGTAGCTAATCTTTATATCTTCCTAAATACAATCAAATTTTAAATCCTAAGTGCCAATGGTGGCAATTAGGAGAGATATGATTAAACTATAATCAAAATATCATGTAAAAAACTACCAAGGAGTTAAATGACACAATTTTATTGGTGATAGAGGTTGGTAATATTTCAAATTTTATACTCAAAAATTGATTTGTGCTTTTGTGCATATATGTTATATTACATTTTATAAATTTAGAATCAAATTTAGATTTTTTTTTATGTAGGCATCACTAGATTAAAATTAAAATTTTAAAAAATCTATTTTTTGTTTTAAATCTTGAAAGAATTCTGATATATATATATATATATATATATATATATATATATATATATATAACTTATTATTTTTAATTTCTTAAGATTTTGTATGTAATTTTTTTTTAAGTGTATAAAGAATCTGCTTTTATAAAATTGGAAGTCTTAAATTTAACACATAAATAATATATATATATATATATATATATATAACTTATTATTTTTAATTTCTTAAGATTTTGTATGTAATTTTTTTTAAGTGTATAAAGAATCTGCTTTTATAAAATTGGAAGTCTTAAATTTAACACATAAATAATATATATATATATATATATATATATATATATATATATATATAACTTATTATTTTTAATTTCTTAAGATTTGGTAGGTAATTTTTTTTTAAGTAAATATATATATATATATATATATATATATATATACCTCTTTTTTTTTATTTTCTCAAGAGTTTGTATGTATATTTTTTTATGTGTATATAGATATACCTCTTTATAATAGGGTGTCTTTTATATATCACACATAAAATATATATATATATATATATATATATATATATATATATATATATATATATATATATATATATATATATATATATATATATATATATATATATATATATATAACTTATTATTTTTAATTTCTTAAGATTTTGTATGTAATTTTTTTTTAAGTGTATAAAGAATCTGCTTTTATAAAATTGGAAGTCTTAAATTTAACACATAAATAATATATATATATATATATATATATATATATATAACTTATTATTTTTAATTTCTTAAGATTTTGTATGTAATTTTTTTTTAAGTGTATAAAGAATCTGCTTTTATAAAATTGGAAGTCTTAAATTTAACACATAAATAATATATATATATATATATATATATATATATATATATATATATATTACTGATAATCTTTAAAATTTGATGATTAATATGTCTTTGAGCTTCTTGTATAGAATTTAGAGAAGAAGGCAATTTAAACTTGTAAGAAGTGGATTATTAATACTCCTTAAATTTGATCTGAATTGAGCAGTATTCAAAAGTAATTATATCAAATTGATATTCATTATTAAAGAGAGAGTTGTAATATCTATATCTATATATTACTAAAAGATATTAAGAACAATGTAATAATATTGGTAAAGATGCATAAAATTAATAGAATGCTTTTTCATTTGGCTCAAGCAATTTGTGCTATCTTGATAGTTATAAAGCAAGCACTATATTCTAACTTTTTTTATCATACATTTTGAAACTAAATAAAGTAAAAAATAATATGTACAAAATAATATGAATATATAAGGATTTAAAGGAAAAGGAAAAAAGAAAAAAGAAAAAAGAAAAAGAAAGAAAGAAAAAAAAAAACACCTTAAAAACTGTAATACTTAGTTTTAAATTTTGCTATTAATTTTTGGAGATATTTAATTTAGGACCAAATTAGAAATATTTTTTTAAGATGAAAAAAGATATATATTTCTTTTCTAGGATAATTTTAGATTACAATTGTGAGGTTACTTTGATGTAATATCTTTGATAATACAAAAGCACAACAAGAAATTTTAATAGTATAATACTACAAACCTATTTTCTAGGGATAATTGTTAGTTTAAAGCATAAGAATACTTCTGTGGTTTCCAACAATTTGACAAACAGCATGTCTAATTATTCTCAACATTATTGGTAAAATAGTCAGGAAAGTCACAGCAAAAAAAATCTTTGTTGCTTAAATCATGCAAAGAATATTTTTTAAGTATAAGAATCTAAAAAAATAATAATAATAATAATAATAATAAGAAGAAGTAAAAAAATGTTTTACATATAATTAAAAAGCAATTGAAGTGAAAATATTATAGTAAAATCAATCATAGTCATAATAAAAATTTCAAATTCTATCCAAAGTTAGGATTTGTAAGTTTTTTATTATGTTACAATCAAAAAGACCTTTGAAACTAAGATAGTCGAGCTTAAGCAAAAACTTAAGATCTTTCCATCCTTGTCCTTGTTTTCTTCTTATTTATTTATTTTTATTTTTAATCTAAAGTAATTCTGGAATTAGAGCTTATTAATCACCTTCTAATTTGTATAAGTTTGTTGCATCTATGAAGATAATAATTATTTTTTATTATGATAAAGGACTCCAATGTCTAAGTAGTTATAACCAGAAAATATTTTTCCAATAATATCATAATATTGATTGCAAATTTAGTTTCTTCTTTATTTACTATATTAACTTGAGTAGAGAATACACGAGGTATTGCAGGTTAAATCAAAGAATATTTGCTTTTAATTTTTAGCATAGAGATTTGAACTTTTATATAATTTTTTGTAGATCCTACTAAATAACATACATTAATAATTAAGATATATTATTTAGTGAATAAATATATATTTACTTTATTTTAGTAATAAAAATTCGACCCACAAAAAAAGATTAGTTTGCAATGATTTTTTAGCAACAATAAATTGGAAATTTTTATATCCGTATATTTGCAAAGACAACATTTGGGTGTAGTACATATATTGATATTTTCGTGTCTAATCTGGTTTAAATTTTGTAAAGAAGTCTAGCATTTGCAAGCACTTGCTCAGGGGATGAGAATTAAAATTTCAAATGTAGATTTATTTAACAATAAAAATAATTTTAATTCATATTAAAAACCCCAGGAAAAGAAAAAAAAATTAAAAAAAGGAAAAAAAAGGCTTATGATTAATTATGGGTGTGCTTCAAGTCTTTTCCTAATTTTAATTTCATTAAAAAGTATTCATTTTCTAAGCGTTCGTCAAGTGAAATTGTGCAAAACATCCACAACTAATACCATTTTTCTATTTTTTTTTATTTATTTATTTATTTTTGTAGAATTGTTGCTACAAACAAACAATGGGATGGGAGATCCTGCTTGACAACTACAAGATAAAGATATTTGATTCATTGCAGTTAATACATCAATCTGACAAGAGTCTGGCAACGCCCAAGGGCATCACAAGTAAAGCATGCCCCCATTGCCACACTTCCTCTTTTTCCTCACCCCCCCACCCTATTATTATTATTATTAGTATTATTATTCATTCTACTTTCAAACTATTGTTCATTGATTTTTCTATAATGCAAAGTTATTACTATTTTTACTATTTTTTTGAATTTTTTTACTCGTGATTTAATTAACTCTTTATTTTTTAAACAAATATAACAAACTATCATAGGTTAATATTTGTATACTTTGAAAAGTTAAGATTTTGGGTTGGAGTATTGTCCTTCCAAAAACTCATTGGTGTTGATATTGTTAATTAAAATTATCTGATAGTATTGCTAATTAAAGTTTCTTGATAAAAAATATATGATTTTGTTGATTACTGTAGAGCTCAAATTAAGAGTTTATTGTGTTAACGTATGAATACTTGATATGAATACCAAGTTAGATGGCTTTGCAGTAAAATGTTCAATTGCAGAGACTCTCAGTAGTATATCAACAAACTTGTTGATACCAGGCTTTGGTTCAAGTACCAAAAAATAAAGAGAAAAATACAAAAAACTACACATATATGCACACACACACACACTTTTATATATACATATATACACTCCTTGGCTGTATGTATGGAGGAAAGTAAGAGATCGGAAATGCCACTTATCTCTAACAGACCTTCTGGCTGGAACTGCAATGGGATTCTTATCATGTATATATCTTGCGGATAAAACAGTTGTACTGCGGCGAAGAGCGGCAATACGAAGCAACATCATGCGTCGCATGCCAGAAAAGAGTGTGGGTAACAACAACACTAAGTTAGAGCTGGTCAGAGCTCGCAGACCTGGTGGGTCGATCGTCACTCTCAGCCCCAGTGCCGCATAATTGCAACCAGGGCTGAATGAAGCCTCGTCGTCGTCGCCCAATCCCTCGGTGCCTGTCGCACCACGGATCGGTGCTCTCACACTCTTCTGCACGCCGCCGATTCGTGAGATACCTGCACAGTTGCCGTCCTTTTTGTTGTGCCACTGGCTTCTGAGACCAGCTCCTTGGCGTCAGTGCAGCTGCAGTCTATCGCTCTAGTTGGACTCCATTAGGGGTTCTTCCTCGGGTAAGGCCCTGCAGTGCACTGTAGCAGCTGCCAGTCAAGGTTTATGGGTCTGGGCCGAGCGGAAATCTTGTGTGTCAACACGTGATTCTCGACAGATTAAGGGCGTCTGTTGCAGGTGTTTAGCAATGTCTCGGAACCAGGAATCGATGAGCAGTCGCTGCTGCTGCTAGGTTGGGTGCCGAAGTGGGAGCTGCGTCCACAGCATTGTGGTTGCGCTAGAACGGTGGAGGATACCATCTAGGTGCTACTGCGGATGATTCCTTTGGTGCTGAGAGGAGGGTCGGTTTGAATATGGCGATGAAGTGGGCAGGGTCGTGGGTTTTGGCGACGGTGTTAGCCGTGGCCGGCTTGGCGAAGGCTGCAGTTGTGGAGTACCACTTCAAGGTGGCGTACATGAGTGCAGCCCCTGACTGTTACTCGAAGACGATTATTGGCATCAATGGCGGGTATCCTGGTCCGACCATTCGTGCCACGCAGGGCGACACTGTGAAGGTTACGTTCGAGAATCACGTGGTGACGGAGGGGATTACAATGCATTGGCATGGCATTCGTCAGGTGAGGTCTTCAATGTCGCTGTATTTATACTTGTGAACTAAATATAATCCATGGCATGGCTTTGCTCTCGTTCCTTGATGCTTCTCTTTTAAGCGCCTACGTAGTGTGAGGTTGTATTGAGAAGTATTCTGTGGATTATGAGCATAATCTCTCTGCTGCTCCATTCCACAGTCCTGAAACGTTGATTTACTTATTTCTTTGTATTCCGTTGTTTTCTGGCGTTTTTCCTATCAGCCACGCAGTGGTCAATTGAAGCTTAAATTGCGAACTGCTCACTTGAGCCTCCTTCAGGGAATCTTACGAAATGAAAATTAAGTAGTCTTCAATGAGCTGCTCAAAAACGTGATTAGCCTGTCATTAGCTGCAATACTATTTTTTTTTTTGACAGATAGGGAGCCCATGGGCCGATGGTACAGCTGCAATATCACAGTGTCCGATTCTATACGGAGAGAGCTTCACGTACGAGTTTATCGTTGACCGAGTGAGTATTGTTCTTCCCAATCACTCTGACTGTCGGGTAGCCAGGAAGTAAGTATGTTGGATGTGTTGAATGTGTTTGGTTGCCTTCAAGCCCACCGTTGCAATCCATTATTCGTGGCTGAGAGATGGTGGTGCTTTAGTGCAGCCCGGGACTTACTTCTACCACGGACATTTCGGATGCCAACGTGCCGCTGGATTCTACGGCCCTTTGATTGTGGACTTGCCCAAGGATAAGCATGAGCCTTTCACCTACGACGGGGAGCACATGATCATCTTGAACGATTGGTGGCACCGGTCCATTGTGGGTCAAGAGCAAGGCCTCGAAAGTATCAACTTCGCATGGGTGGGAGAACCCCAGGTTTGGTCCAAATCTCGAATCTTCCCATTTCCCATTTGACGTTTGCTTTAAAACAGTTAGCATGCAAATTCATCAGTTCATCGAATTGTGCACAGTTCAATCGTACAAGCTTGAGTCATCCCCATCACAAATTGGGTCATAAACAGGAACACTAGATTTACATGCGAAGTGTGTATTCTCTGCCGATGGGGAGATTGCAGTCGCTGCTGCTGGAGGGTCGTGGAAGATACAACTGCTCCAATGTCCCTGAGTATAAGCCAGCTGGCCTAAGCTGCAATCAGAGTGATGAGAGGTGCGCACCCCACGTGTGGAGTGTGGAACGCGGCAAGACTTACCGACTGCGCCTTGCCAGTGTGGCCTCCCTGTCTTCTCTCAATTTTAAAATTGAGGTAAAGTTCATCTTCCCACTTCTCACTTCTCTTCAGTCATGCGATTCGTCACATTTTGCTGTTTTTGCAATGTAACGTTATGTATTAAGGTCTCAGGAAGGCTTCATTAAGCCACCCGAGACGCATGCAGTGAACTTCAATGCCGCCATCGGCTAACAGAAACAACCGTTTATGGCTTAGTGGTCGCTAATATCACCATATGCGGTATCGTTGGCAGGGCCATTCGATGAAAGTGGTGGAGGCTGACGGACACAGCATAGAACCCTTCTGGACGGATAACCTGGATTTATACTCTGGAGAGACATACTCGGTCCTTGTGAAAGCCGACAAGCAAGGCGACAACTTCCATTTGGGTTTGAACGTACGCGGCCGCAACGACGAGCAAGTCCCCACGGGACTAGGCATCCTCAACTATAAAGACAAACCCGTGCAGCAGCCCACCACGCCGGCACCCAAAGGACCCGCGTGGAACGACTTCGAAGCCAGCAAACGCCAGGCCAAGACGTACAAGGCTCTGCAGAACAACCCCGATCCCACCAGCCACCCGTTCGACGCGAGCGCTCCGGTCACGCGCACCCTGGTGCTCCTCACCACCCAAAACAAGGTCGAAGGACGCATCAAGTGGAGTATCAACAACCTGACATACGCACCCCTCCAGACTCCACTCCTGGCGGGTCTCGTGTACAACATCAGCGGCGCATACGACACCACGCCGCCGCCGGACTACCCAGCGCACGGCTACAACATCTTCGCACCTCCGGAGCCGCCGCACACCAATGTCGGCAGCGGAATGTACCAGTTCAACACGGGCGACGTCGTGGACGTGATCATCCAGAACGCGGCGGCCCTGAACAACGTGAGCGAGATCCATCCCTGGCATCTCCACGGCCACGACTTCTGGATCCTGGGCTACGGCGAGGGGCAGTTCGACCCGGCGGAGTCCCCAAAGTCCTATGATTTGAAATCCCCACCAACTCGGAACAACGTGGCCACGTTCCCGTTTGGGTGGACAGCGGTGCGCGTCCACCTGGACAACCCTGGCGCGTGGCCGTTCCACTGCCACGTGGAGTGGCACTTCCACATGGGCATGGGCGTGGTGTTCACGCACGGTATCGACTCCGTGCGTGCCCGCGGGATCCCTAATTCCGTGCTGGGCTGTGGCCTCACCAAGCAGCTCTTCTCGCTCCCATCGCCGTGAGCGTCTCACTTGGATATCGTTCATCCCTCGCTGCATTCATCATCCATCTGGTTCTCATCCACCTGCTGCTCCGTTGTCACCTCCCAATGGGGCCAAACCATGAATTGTTTGGGGTGGGGAAGGGTGGTGTTGGTTCTATGCACATAAATGGAGATTTGCTAGAAAAATATATGTACATATATATATATATATATATATATATATATAGCGAGAGAGAGAGAGAGAGAGATAACTTGTTGGGAAAGAGGAAAGAGAAAAAGAGGAGGAAGTTAGTTCTTTAATCCTCTTTTCTTTTTCTTTTCTTTTTTTGTCTTTTCTTCTTATCCTATTGTCGTGCCATCTTGGAATAGCAAATTTTGATTCACTTTTGAAAACTACGCAATTGGTAGTTTTATTGCCTCCTAAAATCTTTACTGAAAAGGTATATAGTCTGTTGTTCTTAAGATAATTTAATACTTTAATAAGAAGACAAATAGTTATCAAATTTAAATAAATATATTGTGCTTGTATTATGTTAATCATTATTTTGATTTACGAAAAAATCCAATATTTAAAAATATTAATCAAGAACAATTAAGTTTCAGAGAATTTTAAAAAACATGTCAAAAATGAAAAAAATAAAAAATAAAACTATTAAAATTTTGAGATTGTGATTTTTGTTTATTTTTTATTTTTCTTTTAAAAAAAATCAAGCCGTAATTTGACTTAGGCTGAAATCAAGTATTTTTTTTACACGTTTTTTATTTTAATTATAAAATTTTGTAACTATTAAGCGTAATTTTGAGAAATTTAACACATTTTCCAAGTTACAACTCTATTACAAAATTTAAAGCAATGTTTCTTCACAAAACATCATTCAATTAATTAAATCAAATCAAAGTCCACAACATATACTTTTGACACAAGACCTATAATATTTTCAAAAGATGAAAATCTTGATTTTTTAACTTATTACGATTGCTAGTGTTTTCCATCTAAATGATTTAGAAGTAGATTTCATGACGAATGCCACGAAACAGAATCCAAATCACATACTAAACTACATTTTACTTTTGTATAAAAAAATAAATAAAAGGAAACATGAAATCGCTGCAGTATTTTTGCCTTGAAGACGTAAAAGCTTGTAGATTTCTATTGCAAGGGCTCATAACAGTCTATCAAAGCACACTCGCACATCTACACTCATTCTGTTCGGTTTGCTAACACTCTGTTTTTCAGTATTTGAGACACAGCACTAATGTGTTGATGCTCGACCTCAACAATCTGCCACCGCCACTCGTTATTGACAATGGAAACGTGATTGAAGAAGAGATTAAACACAATGGCTAATTTAACTATGTTGTTAGTACTACTGACTCGATCTGGTTCGAACTCACACTCTGCCGTAAAACAAGGGACATCCTTCGGGAGATTGTTGAGCTGTACCTGATGCACTGAAGCCCGCGTCACAGATAGATTGGTTTTCGCGATTTGAAATAACAGTGGCGAAGTATTCAGTGCTGAAGAGGTTCGACTACAACGGCAGCATTAAAGAACATAATGAAGAAATTGAGCTCTTTTGAACATGTTCGAACTAAACCTCTTGACGTCATGTCCGCACCATCGACCTTCGAAATGTTCGTGCAAGAGTGAGATGCTTGAAGGTGCGGAAGGATGCTGAATGCCGGAAAAGGGAAGGGATCAGTTTAATGTAAGACATTCACATTGATTGAAAGTTGGCACAGCGTCGTTTGGCTGATGCCACTCTGATTCGCGAGGTCCAGAAAGAATTCTTTTATCGTCAGGTTCGTTTTCTTCTAGAAACTAATCGTCTTTGGAGTGGCACGACGATGGTTGCGCACTGATCGTGCAAGGAGAAGAGGAAGTGGCAATACTTGAGTATCTCGTACCTTTATCGGATTCGCAGAGGGAGGACTTAATCGTGGTAGAAGAACACAGTGCACCAGAATGATCACTCACCGAGGATCTTCTCTCTCCATCAGAATCATAGCACCTGTCGAAGTCTTCGATGGGGAATAATTTCCCACTGTGTTCTAAAACCTCAGAAACGTCGAACGTGAAACCCGCCTTGGCACTGACAGACTTACTTCGGAGTCGCCTCAGCTTCTTCAGGATCTTCTCAGTGAGTTGGCTCTCGGTTGATTCCGATTGTTCTGGTTCAAATATCTGAGACAAAGACTCCAAGGGCTTTGTAGCTAGTCGGACGCCAGGAGGAGGACCAAGCGGACTCGTCCTTGGTTTAATCACCGGCGGAGCCTCCACGATCGGCCTGCCCGGAGCGACTTCCCATTTATACGGAATGGCAACCAGAGAACCAGAGCTCCCAACTTCATGCACTTCTATCATCGGTCACCCCTGAGAATTCTAAGCAACAATGTCTAGTACGCGACAAAGTTATGCACTGGACAATAATATTCGACGGTCATGCAACAGCTAGCTGCAACTTCACCATACTACATAATTCTTGGGGTGAATTTGTGCTCGTGGCACCAGCATGCAGCATTTAGGTAACAATCACAACCAGACAGAGCACAACTGAATCTGTAGATGAAGACATCAACACGAATACACGTACATTCTTTCAAGAAAGTACTGTGTACAACTGAATAGCAAGACTTCCTTGGAAGCACTGACTACTCCTGCAAGAAAGAGTGTCGAGAAGACACCAACGTTTGTGAAGAGGAGGTGACGAGAACAATATATTCCGCTGCTACGACGTTGTGATAGACTGTGAACTCTTTGACAACGGAGGATAATATGAGATGAAGTGCCAGCAAAACACTGCAAAAACCTCCACGGAGAATGATCAAGAAACAGACAAGAGGGAAATATCGAGCAGCAACAATTGCTCCAAGAAACTTTTAGGGGACGGAATGAGGCTGAGGTGGAGGCGCCATTCCCTGCACATGGTGCCACAAAATGCCTCCCCTCCCGTGCCGTGACTCGCGCTGCTGCTCCTCCGCGCAATAGCCCCCCCGTTCGCAACACACCAAAAATGGCGGCACCGAGCACAAGGGGGCAGGGGCATAGTTCCAAATCCAGTCTCGTGAATCGTTGCATCCGTTTTGGCATGATAGTCGGGGGAACTGCCAAGTCGGGCAGCGCGGAACTGGTAAAATGCCTGAAGTCTTGCAACCATATGGTCGGGCTTTCCGATTTCCCATTGCAACCTTCGATCCATGCTCGAGCAAGGGCAAGGGTTTTAGTTTGGAGGGGCTCATCCCTCCCCTCTTCATCGTCATCGCCGTTTCGAGGCCAAGGTGTTTTCATGACACTCAAATTGTGTGACCGCCCTAAAATTGAAATATTTAGTTGATAGTATATATATATATATATATATATATGTGTGTGTGTGTGTGTGGAGTAAATGTTGTAGAATGTGATTCAATTTTTTTACAATTTTTTAAGGGAATTGTTAAATTGACCCAGGCATTGGTTGTAGATCTAACCTATTTTTCATTGGATTTCAACCAATACAAATCCAGTGGAGAATTTTTTTTTTATGATAGTTAGCATGGATGGATTGATTTAGTAAATGCTTGGGTCAATTTAACAATTTTATTTTTTAAATATATTTGTTAATATGTTTGTGTTTATATGATGTAATTTAGTGTATATTTTTTATATTTTTTCTATTTTTTGTATTTTTATTCTCAAGGTTTTTTTGTTATATATTAATAACTTTTATATTCAAGACATTAGTGTTTGTCTTTATTATGTATTAATTTAAAAAAATCATGAATCTATTCATCTATCATGCATTTATTCATATATAAAAATCTCTTTCATCCATCTATGCATTTATTTAATTATACTTGACTTGGTTGCAAAGTAATTTAAAGGTTTGTAAAACCAAAAAGTAGATTTAAAAAGAATATAAGACAAAGAGATAGAAGGTATTATTATCCACAACATGTGTTAAAGCATCAATTCTTTAATTGAATGCAAATACACATATAGTATAGCCAAAGGTTGGTATTTTTGTTGAATAACTTATATTTTGAGAGTCAAGTATTTACAATTCAGATACTCAATAGAAGATGTGGTTATTACTTGTATCAAGTAACTCCAATGTACAAGTATTTTCTCTATTAGCACCAATTGTACTTCTTGACATTATAAGAGCTATATATTTGTTTATTTATACCATTGAACTATTTTTTTATTTTAATTTTTTCAGAAATTATTTTTACATAACCATTAAAATATTGTTATCAATCATATCAATTTATTGCTAATCAACGCTATTTAAAAAACAATTTCTAGTTTACAAATTTGATTTTTAATAACACTAGAATTAACTATGAGAAAAAAGAAAGCATAATATGTTCATGAAGAAGAACAAAAACCATCACAAAAGCAAGAACTATCAATTTAACAATCAAAATGGAAAACTAGCAATAGTAAAAAGCCAAATTGACGGTCTAATTATATTGCTAGAATTTTGTAGGAAGCAATGCAAGGGCAATACTTAAAAAATATATATATATAATTTAATAAAAAAGAAAAAGAAAAATTCTTTGCTAATGCATAAAGATATATATATATATATATATATATATATATAAGTGATGGTGTGTCTATTTGTTTGTTATCATCAGATTAAAATAAGCAATTTATCTGTTTGTTTATTCATCAATGATATATTTAAAATTTAAAATAATAGACACTAATATATTTTAAAATGCCAAAAGTACTTAAGAATTTTCATAAATTAGAGCTTTTAATGATTAGACAACATTTTAAAAAATGAATGTAATATAATTTTTTAAATATTAGAAATAAAAAAAAAAAAATTGACACAAATTTCAATCCTACTTGTATGGATTAAAGTATAATAGAAAATATCAATACATAAAAGGATCCTTAAAAAACAAATATGAGCTAAAATATAAAGTAATTGCAACAATGACTAGCCTTAAGAACTAGAATTCAAATATCAATGACAATTTTTCTTGAGCTCTTGTTATGTTTATCTTATTTTGGAGGTTTAAGAATTTTATTAAGATTTGTCAAGGATATAATTTGATGCTAAGATTATTGAGTTCATTTTAGAATAAATGATTATGATAAGTTTTATCAAATATATTTATTATCAATTTAAAACAATAAAAATAAAAATAAAACATCTTATTTATTTATTGATTTATAATACAGTAAAAAAGAATCTGGTAAATTCACTAAAAATTATACAAAAATCGTTAAGTAAATGCACTTTTACAAAAACTGTAGCTACTAAAATTTGAAACTATTTTGCACATCAAAGCCATGGAGTCTAATTTTGAAAGAGTTGCTCATCAGCTGAAAAATTCAAATGCATATTTGAGTTGGTCAAGCTATCCACTCTATATTTTGCAATATTATTCCAACTCTAATCTGACTAGTGTTATTTTGTTGTATCTAGATTTTATTTCTATTAGTCTACAATATTTTTTGTAGTAATACCAACATTGTGAAGAGGAATATGAATATATTTTAATTTCAGACTTTCAATATATTAGGTTTGTCTTCTCTGAAATGACTGCATTCCAAGTGGAACCCTACTCTTGTAGATTTGAGAGTTTCCTTTTTGATTTTGTTTTGTCAACTTCTTTCTTGGTGTCTTTCCCATTCTTTTATGTAGGTGAAAACCTAACATGTCATTGGAATGAGGAGTGATATAAATTGTTGTTTATGTTTATTTGATAAATGTGCGTTGAGGAATGTTTTGTTTTTTTGATACGTGTACTTTGGGTGAAAGCAATTAAAGGTGGATACAAAGAAATTGCTCAAGTATTGTTAGATGTTGAAGTAGATGTAATTTGACTTATGTGTTTGGACAGGCAGCATTGCATTGGGCTGTATAAACCTTATCCATGGAATCCTATATTTCAACTTTAATTTTTATTGCATTAATATATGAACTACTCAATAATTGTGTTGATCTAAACCTAATTTGAAAACCAAAACTTTTGGGAAAAAAGAAAAAAGAAAAAAAAAATGTTTTTCTTTTGCTAAATTTTGAATTTTTCAAAACTATATTTGAAATTCTACACATTCATTCTTATTTGTATTAACTTAGTGTACAAGAGGATTTGCAGAACTATATTTGAAATTCTACACATTCATTCTTATTTGTATTAACTTAGTGTACAAGAGGATTTGCAGATATTGTTGAAGAAATTATTCATTGAGGTGAAAATATGGATGCAATATATCCAAATATTAAAACCTAAGCAACAAGTATAAAATTTTGCAGTTAACCATGTATTTCTCAACTTTTCAGGCAAACCGAAACAAAGTCAGAAAAGAAATTTCTGTTGTAACATCTTTTTGTTGCAAGATGGACGTGAAAGTCACCTCACAATAGATTCTGAAGGATAGTGGCACAAAATCGAGAGAAGAAACATACACAATTCTAATCATTCAGACGTCCCAACCTTGATTATAGGAAGGATTCTATTCTGTTGTAGAAAACAACACTAGAACCCAAGCAGGCAGACAAGCAGATAAGTACAGACAAACCTCAAGCGGCAAGCAACATCAAGAGCAGTCAAGCACAGATTTCGAGACTGCAAAGGGAGCAACAGACCACAACGAGATGCAAATCCAAAAGAGTTCGATGGTGAGCACGAAGGCAAAGCAGGAGTCTGACCAGAAACGGCATCCAGGAAGACAAATGGACAAGGATAAGAGAGCTTTTGTCCAACCCATATCTCGTCATATGCACCTTTGAACTTAGCCAGGCAGCCACAAGGATCGTGCCTCTGCTCGAGATCCACCACAGATGGGACTGTCAAAGGCAATGTCAGAGGCTTCCTACACAATCCACCCGTTCGTGATGTAATCG